CATGTTCTCCTACCTGCATTTCTGTGTAGTCAGTGTCCTTTCAGTTGTTCTAGGTGCAATCCAGCAGTGTATGCAAATATAAAGTTGCTTTTTCCTCCATATCCTGCCACAGAAGTGGTCTACCAGTGGCAGAGTTTCAGCACACAGCAACACCCCAACACATGGTGCATGCCTATACGTAGCATCCTCACTCGGTGTGGATCCCTAGGAGAAACAAGAACAGAGTAGACATGAAGAGCAGAGCAGACATGAAAAGGTACAGGCAGCTGCATGGGTGACAGATCTAGAAGCTCCTTGATCCTGGAGTCAGCTGTGGAGCTCTCCTGCTGTGAAATCATCCATATCTGGATCATCTCCAGCTCAAAACAGATGTGACCACAAAATCTGGACATCTGAGGATCTGTCACTGATGTGATGAAAACATAGGACTCAGCCTAGTGAGAGATACAGATGAAGAAGACAGGCTTTACAAGAATACTTCAAGGCACTCATAGCTTCCCTGGTGCCACTGTCTGACCTGAGCTGCTCATCTCACTCAACCTGACTAGTGTCCAGCCACTCTGACTGCAAGGAAAGGATGAGGAAAGAGATTCATTACCATCCACACATCTCCCAACACAGCAAAACCCTAGCACAGGTAAGGCAGCATTAGGAGCATGCCACTGGGCTGTCCCTAGCACCTTGCTGCCCTACTCTAATGTCTAACACCAGTTCTAACTATCACTACCATTACCAACCTTGCAAAAAGTCTGAGAAACACAACCCCCCACTGATTCTCTGTCTTGTACCTGGAGTGGATGATCCCTCCGGGTCCAAGACTACTGCACGTTAATGTGTTTGGTGTGGGAAAACAGAACAAGTGAAAGAGCTCCAGCTTCAAGCTGCCAACATGGTTTAGCACTGGACTTTGGTTCCCCATAGCTGTTCAACTGCAGTGTTTCACCACAACAAATACTCTCCTTCTACCTTCTGCATGCAAAAGGCTGGGTTTGAGGGAATGGCCTAAAATCCAGCACCAGTGTATCCTAGGAGGTCTGAATTATGCAGGTGAGAGCAGGACTGGGGGGCAAGACAGGGGCCAGCTCAGCATAAGGACAAAAAGCTGGTAACACTGTTGAACGGAAGCATCCTCTTAGGTGAAATGATTTGGATGGAATCCCGTTGGGCTGAATAGTTTTCTCATTTGTTCCTTATGCTGTTTCTCACACTTCTTCTGGATAAAATGTCCACCATCCAGCCAGGCAAAACACAACGCTGTGGGTGAACAATAGGCTGACAGGTCGGGCTCTAAAGGTTACAGTAAGTGGGGTTCCAGTAGCTGACACTGAATTGGGAAGAGCTGCTGAATCTGTCAAGAAGTCACTAATTTTTGACTCTTCGAATGAGAACTATGGCACCAGTTGTCTATTGTGCAGTACCACCATATATTGTACAACAGAATCTTTTCTGCAGAGCTACCATACCCAGGTTCCCACCCCAGACCACACTTTCAGGTAGCATTACACACTAAGTGAGGCAGTTCTGGGGTCCATCAAAAAGGAGGTAAAATCCCATTGCACAAATCCCCCCACAGTGCCTGGCACTCACTATCCTAACAAGAACAAAAAAGTTTCTGGGGGAAATGGCAAGAAAACTGGGAATAACCAGTATTCAAATATAAGCTGCCACTCAAATCAAACTGCAGACTAACTGCACAGCCAACTTCAATTCCAGCAGCACGAGCAGAGAGTGCTACTGAATGTCATCATCTGTGTTTTCCTTTCCCCGCACAGAGCTCTGCAGACAGCAACGCTCTGACTTCACTCCTCAGCTGATTGAGAACTAAATACTCAATAAGACCATACTGAAAATAATAACACTAACCAGACCTCAGCATCAGTGATGACTGAGGCAAAGAACAGACACACGAATTAATGTAAGATCCATTTCAGGGACAAAACAACACTGAAAGCGAAAGCACAGCACCTGCCCAACCACCAGAAACGATGGGAAGCAGTGAAATGCCTCTGGGCTCTATATAAAGTGCAAACAGAACAACCTGAGAAGGGGAATCAAAACTTTAAGCCTTGTTCTTCAAAGGCAGAAACGCAGTGCAGAAACACACAGCCCCACCTCAGCTCACACACCTTTCCTTGCCACCACAAATAGAACAGAAGGACGAAGCTCCCTTATAAACCTGTTGTAAATCCACCTCCTGGAGCGTGTGCAACTCACCCCGAAGTGAAGCAGCAGCAGCAAAAGCCACAGGAGAAGCTACAGCACAAGGGAGCAGGGAGACAACGTCCTCTGTCATGAATTCACGACTTACTGCTTTCCGTTCGGCGCTCTCTGGGACTTTTAGAGAGCAAAAGACAATGCAAAATGAAAGTTAGAATAGCCAGGAATTCCCCCAGCGTCAACGCATCTGTGATTAAGCAAATCAGATGTGCCACTACACCCAACCAAAACAATACAGGGGAGTTATCCTTTCCCGGAATCCATAGCCAGATGGTGATGGAGGAAAGCATTCTGGGGCTGCTCCAAAGAAACGGGTTTGTGGGTGATGGGCTGGCAGGTGGATGGCTGGACTAAATGACCACAGAGGCCGTTTCCAACCTTAACAATTCTATGGTTCTGAGGGCAAATTTTGACCAGAATAACCTCTTTCCTTCTTTTGGTTCAGGCTCTTGCAATATGTTATTTAGATGCAAAAATCCTGACTATGCTAGGAGAAAGGGAAATACTGATTTACTATTTCTGTTGCATCTATGAGAAAAAAAGTGACCTTTCTTTCCTTTGGAGCAGGAACCGGATTTAAGTGAGAACAGAGTGGGAATGGATGGGCTGAGGAAAGATTGCACTGTGTGTGCAGAGAGGATCCAGAACCAGCAATGCAGCACACCTGGCTGCTCCAAAGTCCACGCGTTGGAAAAAAAAGAAAGGTAAAGCCAAAACCCAGAGCCAGCAACACCCACAAAGGGGTGGATGGGGGTATGGCAGCCTGGAGGGCAGGTGGGGGAGGTGGGGAGGCTGAGGGGCAGCGCTGACCCCCACGGGCTGCTCTCCATCCCCACACAAAACGCTGCTGGTGTGTCAGAAGGGCAGCATGGAGGCTCAAAGGGACCAAATGCTCCAAATGCAAAGCGGTGCCTGGAAGCCCCTCGGTCACAGAAAGCCACAGCATCTGCCGTTTGCTTTCTCCCTTCAGGTTGAAGGTAGTGGGTAATTTCAGAATGAGCCACCTCGATGCGGCTTCCCTCACGGGGAAGGAAGTTTGGCCTCGAGAGCAAAGCTGTGCCCGGCAGCACTTCAAACCTCCATTCGGGACAGCGGGGAGTGACGGAAGGCAGCACAGTGATCACCAGACTTCCATCACCTGACCTCCATAGGGCCGTGCTGGGCTCGGTGGCCACCGGCCCCACAGCTTTCTGGCCACACACAGCACCGCAACGAGACGAGGGGTTCCAAGTCACGGGGGGATACGCACACCACAGTGCACAGCCCCCAAATGGGGTCTCGGCCATGCGCTGAGGGCAGGCGACGGCCACCAGCTCCCGGTCGCCACCAGCCCGAAGCCTTCTGCAGGTCCCAAGCGCAGCTCCTCCGGCCTCACGGCACAGAGCGCGCAGCCCCGCGCAGGAGGGACAGACGGACGGACGAGGACGGTGACCCCGCAGCCTCCCGAGGCACGGGTCGCCCACCCGCAGCACTCACCCCAGCGTCGTCCCGGCCCGGTTCTCCCTCATCGCGGTCGGTGCTCAGCGCCGCCCCACCGCGGTTGTTCCAAAAGTGAAACCGCGGCTCTGCGAACCGCTTTGCCGGGAAAGCACGTGGTGCGGGCGCTGCGTGCTGCGCTGCCCGGCTCCGCGCCAGGAGCCGCCCGAGCCCGCGAGGCGCTGCCCTGCCGCTTTCCCGCGCAACGGAGCCCCCTCAGCGCCCGCCGCCATGTTGCAAGCGGTGCCGTGCAAACGGGAGGTCCCCCCTCTGGGCGCCAGAGCGGAGGTTGAATGTTGTACCGGGGCTGCTTCAAGGCAATATCGCACCTCTCAGCCTCCCACCGTGTCGGTTGAGCCCAGCGCTCCTTCGTGGAGCAAACTGCAGTTGGCAAAGGGAGGAGGTTCCTCTTGCGCACCAGTATGGGGCAGCCCGCTGGGTGGGGGAGAACGTCACCCTCTGCCTTTGCTAATGTGATCGTCACTACATCCTTATATTTGGCACTTCTGAGCAAAGTACGGAATTTTATGGAAATTTTATGGAAATTCCCTTTTATGGGAAAGGGAAGCGTGAACCAATATAGCAAAAGAGCTGAGCTCCTTCGGATAAACAAGGGGGAAGGAACAGGATCCTGCTGCCTGAACAGATACTTACACTTCCTCTCGTAATCTCCTCGGCTTCCTTATCATTTTTATTACTTTTGTCAAGTTTGCTCAACAACATGAGCACAGTTTGCCCGCAGCTTTACACAGCGCTTTGTGTAGCCAGGACATAAGGTCTGTGTGTTCATGGACTGCTCTCCAAACTCACGTCTTCAGCCATACAAGAGAGATGCCAAAAGATGGGCCAAGCCTCTTTCTGTTAGCTCCCAGTGTTAACCCAGCGTCCACAGCCTTCAAGAATTCAACCCTTACTTGCAGGCTCCTTGGGATCCCTTTTAAAGATCCTGGCACAAAAGTATCAAGGTCTTTGCAAAGAAAAGTCTCAGTGGAGATGCAATTGCACAGAAACTGCAGCACTTCTCAGGAAAATAAAACAACTCAGCAGAAGCTGATTCAAACCCAACTTGTATTTTGTTTCACACCCAATCTGCTTGTACAAAGAGACCGGTTCTAAAACGTTTTCTTGAAGAAGTTAAGCAGCAAATGATTGGGGAAGCTAAAGTCAAGCTGTACAATAAGATATCGCTAAAAATGCAGGGGAAAAAAAAAAAAAGTGTTATATTAGTATTATGTGCTATGTTGGGATTATCATACTTCCATTAAAGGCTTTAAGAGCCGGGTATTTCTGAACTCTGCTTACCTTTCTTGTGATGATCTCAGGGTTTTTAATCTCAAATAAATGAAGCCCTTTGCTGTTCATCAGTGAGGTTAAAGCTGGTTCGATCTCTATAGAATCAGTAAAATCACCCAGTTATGGTTATGGCCATCCTGGCTTGCTGCTCTCATGTACTGTGGCCTTATCTTGCCCAAAGCTAATTCGCCTCAGTGCCCCGCAGCCTTCAGCCTGGCAGAAATCACTTTCCCTTATCCCAGCCTGGCTCTTTTTCCATTGCCCAGAACCTAGCAGAAATTCACATCAGCAACGTGAAAAGTGTAATTCCATCTCCTCTTCCCCTGCCACTACCAAGATGTGGGAGGTATCAGCATACTTCATTCAGCAAATCGGTATAGAAGAACTGATGATAAGTGCTTTACAGAGTACTGTGGCACTTCCCTGAAGGGAAAACTCACTTGAAATCACTTCTGGGATCCCAACAGCTGAGATCATCTTCTGCAGGAAGTTTCTTATGGGCTGGTCATTCTGAAAGCCATACAATTCATACAGAAAGGTTTTGAAGTTGTAGTTTAGCAGTAGATGGCCTAGAGAATACTTGCTTAGGACTTACTCCGCTTGGATCAGCTGTGCAGTTAAAGACTTTAAACTCTATCCTGAAGGGAAGGAAAAAGGGAGAAAACAGCAGTAGGGGATGAAGAAATCTTCACTGTATTGCTTTCAGATGGGGGCTAAATGAAGCAGTGGAATACCTAAGGAACTCCAGTACTCACCTGGAATCCAGAGGGCGCAAAATGAGTTTCTTTTCCACATAGGCAGCTTGGATAGTGACCGTGATTTCCTGCACAGAGATGCACAGAGGTAACTCCGCTTGCCTTACAGCAGGGAGCTCTTATCTGCACATTCTGGTTTGCTTTCTATAATACAGAGTTTAATGCTTTCTGGCTTCACCTCCAGATATTACCAGGTCTTGGCAGTCAGGATATGCAAGAACTGACCTTCTCCATGTATAGAACTGTCAAGGGCTCTTCTCCCAGGGGAAAGATGCTGATCTCCACTGCTACCAACGTCTTCACAACTGTCCCTTCAGGTTCGAGAGAGATCTCAGGAAGGGCTAGACTCCACACCTTGGCCACAGAATCATTGTAGGAGTTGCCTTGGAAAATCTGGTCAAATAAGGAACAGAAGCCAGGCTTTTGTCATACCACTTCCCAATTTCATACCCACTTCCCATACAGTTTAATTCCCCAGATCACAAGAGGCCAACAGCTCTGCTGGTTTCAAGGAATCTGTGTCAACGTGGAGGATGGAGAAATCCTTGAAAACAACAATCTCTCCTTCAGGCTCTGGTTTTTCCACCAGCCTGATCCAAAACTCATAAGTTGTCCAGGGAAGGACACAAAATGCTCTGAGTAGGACCAAAGTTTACCAAATGCACTGCCTTCTGTTGTGCCTCTGTGTCTTCAAATTCAAACAGCGCCTTCAGAAACAAAACAGAAACAGGTTGTTAAAAAAATAAAGAAGAGATAATAGCTACCCCCAGGCTGGCCCGGATGTGGCAGAACATGCACTTGTGGCTTGCAGCCAAAGGCACAGTTCTTCCCAAACCCACCACCCTTCTGAGAACCACAGAAAAATCGCACACCGCTTTACAACTCGGAAGTCAAGTTTCCTATCAACTGATGCTGTGTCCCTCTAAGGGATAGCACCACTTGCTAGTGTGGACTTGTTATGAATGTACCAATTTCTGACCAGGTGCACATGTAATACTGAGGAACCACCCCTGCAAGTCACCTGCAGCTTCTCCCCTCTGATGGTCAGCACCAGGCGCCCATCTAGGAAAGCCGCCGAAGCCAGAGAGTTGAGGATGTGTTCAGACAACCAGAAGTACAGCATTCGGGATTCGGACAGCAGCGATGGGGAGAAAACAGAGTCGCTGAGGACATCAGAGTAGTTCTTGTATAGGACGAGGCCCTTGAAAGGAAAGCGACTGTGTTGGCAAGGACATGCAGCAGGGAGACAGGACAAAATGTCAACAGCTCGTCTGCCGGCAGTGGTGGCGAGGGGAAGGGCTGCTGGACTCAGAGCAAACACCATGGGCAGGAAACCTTTGGTTTCCGAGGAGCCCGAATTACTTTACCTTGTGGTGTGATTCTAGGTAATTTGCTTTAATTAAAGGATCTGATGCAAGGGAGATATCGAGTCCAATGGCCTCATCTCGGACAAAATTTTCTGTCAGGAGAAAGCACAAAAGCCTTACATTGAAAACACCACCACCAGCAGCAGAGCTTGCAGCGTGCAGCACTAGGACTTGCTGCAAAAGGTGACCTGGAAGCTGTAAAAGGAACACACACACTGGGGTGGGACAGGGGACTCACTGCTTTGAGTGCTAGTGCTGACCCCAACAGTGCTGCTGGCTCTTGGTGGGATCCTATGCACTTTTTTGAGGGACTATTTTAATGGATGTGGTTGCAGTCCTGCTGGGACTCAAATATTAAAGCTGCACGTAAAAGCAACAAGGAGAAAACCAAAGGTGCTTACCTGCTATGTCGTGGACAAAATTTGCCATCACCTGGGCAAGGAGATTTATTTCTTTGCACACCTGCAAGAGGAAGGGAGCATCCTCAGTGTCAGCACCACCTTGTCTTGTGATTCCTTTTACTTGCCACTGAAACGCGTGGCTATCATCTTGCAGGCATACCTCTCTCTTGAGCACAAACTTCAAGGTGAAGGAGATGAAATTGGTGAAGAACTGCTTCAGCCAGCCCGGCCTGCAGGGATGGGAGCAATTAGGGGCAGCCAGCGGCCCCACAGCAGGAGCAGTGGCTGAGCAGGGGGGCACTGGCTGCAGGGGAACAGACTCACTCCTTGTCTCCTTGGAGGTGCAGCATCAGCTTGTGGAAGGACAGGTAGCAGTCCGAGGCGTCGGCAGCCACCTGCTCCTCCTGGCATACTACACAGAAGAAAGAGAAAAGTTGACAGCTGGGAACAGCTGTGCCCCATCTGTGTGTGCAGGGCAGTGGGGAGCACCTCCAGCCCCGCATGCCATCGGATGCCCACAGCCCAGCTTGCTGCTCCCCATGGCTTGTGGCCAACAGCTGATACTTACACAGTTTTATGTTTATCTGGAGGTCGATGGAAGATTCAATTTCAAAATCAACTGAGTGAAAGAGCTGCAGGCTGTAGAGGCAGAAGAGAAGACATTCCACACCAGCACATGCAGCTTGTCCCCAGCCACAAGGCTGTTGCTGCTCGGCCCTCAGGTACTTACAACCAGGCTCCTGCATAGCCATAAGTCAGGGTCCCTCTGAAGAAGGCTGTCACGTTTTTGATGGCTATATCAATGGCATCATTTTCCTTGAGCTCCACCTCACTCTGCTCTATGGACAAGTCGCTGACCTGGATGCTAAAAGCAATGAGAACCCGGTTCGTGGCCAGCCCAAAGCTGGGAACACAGAGCAAGGTGTTTCGGAAGAACCCCAGCTTCATTTCGCTGCTCTTCTTCAGCAACAGCCACAGCAGGAAATCCATCCTGTGCTTGCACCATTGCCTTTGTCACCCCCCGATAGCTGTCCCACGAGTAACACCAGGAGTCCTGCTTTCACCAGTAATCACTGGGTCAAAGCTCCCTTCCCAGTGTTGTGCTGTTCCCGTGGTGTGGAATTGCAGCGGAACTCACTTGGCCAGCGTGTAAGCCACCGTGCCCAGGAGCCGCATGGATCTTTCCCCTGTGATGTTTGGGAATTTGGCATTCTTGAACGCAGCTTGAATGAGCCGTGCTGTCTCCTGGTTCACTGTCAGTAGAAGAACAAAGATACCAAAGTGCCACCTCCTGGCTGCGAGGTCAGCCTGCACCTGGGATTGTAGCCCTGCAGAGGCATTTCACCCCAGGCATTTCCATTAGGCTAGGAAGCAGCTTCTGAGTGAACACTGAAAAATACCACACAGCTCACCTGCACCATACCATTGGGACCGATTTTGGCAAGGCTGTGCTTGTCCTCACTCTGCACAAGCTGTAGGGGTGCCTTGCTCTGAGGCTGCTTACACATACCATTGACAGCTACTGAGTTTCCAAAGAACACTGTCAGAGCCTGAATCTTCTGTGCTGTTTTCCTAAAGCTATCCAGCCCATACCAGCTTCAGCTGTATTTCTTCCCCTGTACAGGACTTTTTTCTCTCCAGAAATCCCTTCTCTTACTTCAGCACAGGATCCTTCTCTGCATGTACCACCCTCAGTGGGACTGGGATGGGGCTGTGATTGCCCTTTGCAGAACCATTAATTCTTCCCCTATGCACAGAGCCCCCCAAACTCTCACAATAAAACCCCAAACCATGCTAGCAGAGACACCCTGTCTCCCCCCTCGTGCAGACCAGCCCCAGGAGGTGATGCAGCAAGGAAGAAAACCCAGCACTCGTTTTCTCCAGTTCTTCCACCCCAGCACGTAACACTGGTAAAACTTTATATTGAGGAGAAAGACTGAATATCATCTTCTAGCTCCTCTGGGAAGCTATTCCTATTCAGCTCAGGCAGTATAAGTGCCCGGTTCAACCTACAACCCCAAATAAGTCAGCAGCACTTACACAGCAACGCCGCGGGCTTGGTCATCCTGCAGACAATCCCAGTGACACTGTACGGCACTGGGCCAAACTCACAGGCTGCTGCTGCATGGATGAGCATCAGCAAGATCCTGGCCGTCCCCAGCCTCATCCCTCCAGCCCACAGCATCCCTGGCTGGAGCAGTGCGTGCCAACAGGAGCAGCTGATTCTTGAGTGTGGAGAAGGCTGCTTTCATACCTCCAAGCAGGACGTGACCTGCTTCCTCCACTTATCAAAACTCATCACACATTTCCTAATCTTCCTATAGTTTCCTTGAGCCCTGTCTGGTTGCATGTTGTCTTCCTCCCACAGCTGCCAAGGCCATGGTAACTCAGGGTGCACTGCATTGCAGTGGGAGGAGAACAAGGGATGCGGAATGGGAGTAGGAGAAAGTGCAAGGAGCAGCCTGTGTTGTGCACTGCTTCCAGCCAGTCCATCATTTGCTTCTTGCACACACGTTCTAAGCTTTGTATTCCTACTTCTCTGCAAATCTCTGTTTATGAAAGGTTAGAAACCCAAATCCAGACCCGCTCTTTGTGCACACCTGCCCTGCACGCCACCAACCCCTGTACCTTGCAACCCATCACAAATCAAGCTGCAGGACTGAGTTACTTCAGCAACAAGACCCACAAACTACCTCCCTTTGCCATCAGTCTCAGGGGTGAAGGTGAGAACTTAGGGTGCTGCAAGAGCACTGAGCAAGGCACTGCTGTCCCTGATGGAGAGGTGAGCACGTCTCCTCCAGCAGCCCACGTCCGGCAGCCCCCGCCCTGAGCTTTGTTTTCTTCCTGAGTTGAGAAAGTGAACGGCCTCCAGTACCCGCAGGAGCACTGCCGGTCAGTGACCTGCACACTAAGACTGTTTGATAGAGCAAACTCTCAGCTACCAAACACTATTTTTCAATGGTCACCACCATTAGCTGTGCATTTTCACCAGTGATGAACAAGAGCCCATATGCCGTGCTTATAACTACCTGCACCAGCAGACCCACTGTTCCATAGTGTCTCTCTGCCTCATTGTGCTCACATCCACTATTTCGTCTCCATAAATGTTCAGCAAGCACTGACAAATGACAGTGGGTGTCATCTTTGCCACAGAGAGTTTACCTGATGTCACCAGGAGGATGATGGCCCCATTCCCTGATGGCTTCAAGAGGCATCTGGACGAGGAGCTGTGAGATATGGTTTAGTAGCTTGTCAGGGCTGGTTCAGCACTGGGGCTGACATCACCCAGCAGTATCCAATGTGACAAGTCTCCATGGCATTCTTTAAGATGCCATCCAGGATCCACCACTGGCTGCTTCAGCTTCGGTGAGCAATGGAAGCTTATGCTATGCCTCTCAAAAAGGACCTTTTTTGAGTGGAGGAGGGATGTTTCTAGGATAGTTTCTCCGCAGGGAAACAAAGATTTCTTCTCTCATTTTTAGGGCAGAGAAGCAGTAGTCTTGGTGAGGAAGCCTTGCTGGGAGCAGGAATTGTGGGAACGGTTTGATTGCTGGACTCCACGATCTTTGAGCTCTCTTTCACCCTTAACAATTCTATGACAGCTTTGCTTCATATGCACTTCCACATCAGGTGCCATTTGGCCAGACTGCCCCTCTGTGCCATCTGTTGCACAACATGTAATATCAGTGGGAAAGTTCAACTTCTATTGCCATACCACCAACATCCACCTCTGACATCATGAGCCAATATAATAAAATAGGGGGCTTTACTTTCAGAGCAGTCCTTGTGAGCGAATCACAGAATGGCTGAGGTCAGAAGGGACCTTACAGCCCACAGTTCCAACCCCTGCTGTGGGTATGGGGCACCCATAGCTCTCAGCAGCAATGCCAGGCCCTCACCAACCTCTGAATAATTTCTGACATCTAACCTACATTTCCTGTTAGTATAAAACTATTCCCTTTTGTTCCATCACTACCAGACTCTTTGAAGAGTTAGTTCCCCCCTCCTGTTCCTAAGTTGCCCTCAATAAGGGGCTAAAAACAGAACAGCACAGCATCAGAGCCACGTTCTGCCCCAATACCCCTCAGCCATTCCCAGCTCCTTCACAGCCAGCAGGAGGGCAGGAGAGGATAGGGCACTGCCGGGCATTGACCTCCTGCAGGAAGGGAAGGGCCAGACAGTTTCCACCTACAACAACAGTGCCACAAACATCAAACATCACTGCCCTGGAGTAACCAGCCCTGAGGGCAGCACAGGGACATCAGCCTGTCCCCTGCACAAGGCCAGGCTGTCCACTGGAGCTCCTTATCCCCCCCCATACTGAGAGGTTGGTGGTGATGCTGTTAAGACTTACCCTGAATTGACCCAAAACCTCATGGCCTTTCAAGAAGTTCAGAGCACATAATGTGCTCTGCTGTAGAGCACATACAAGTACAGATAAGTGACTGCAAATTTTATTGAATCAAAGCCCTTAACCACATTAAAGGAAACAAATACAACAGAGTTGCTCTAGAATGAAAATGCATCTACATTAAATACAGGTCTCAGTCTGTTTTGATTTTATAACTGAAAGCAGTAAATTTAAGTCCTACATAAATTCTTGATTAAAGTTGAATGCACTCTCCTCCCATTATTTGAGAGCAAAGAAATCAGCCTTGAGTACGAAGGGCTTGCTGGGCAGTTTGAAACCTGCAGCTCCACTGAGGTCACTGCCCCACAGCTGCTCCTTTTGCCAAGGAAATGGCACAACACATTTTTCATAGGAAAATATTTACAAAGCAAAATTTAAAATATTGTTGAAGCAATTTAACAATAGATCTTTCCTAAAAACCTGCTAATGCTTATCTAGCAATTTAAGATATTACACTCAGTGTAATTTAAATAGCATTTGAAACATTCCAACAGGAATCGCATTACACAGAAGAAGCAATTTGCTTCTCTAACATCTTTGCACATGTGCTCAGAGCCTGTGCATTTAGTGCACAAGTTTACAATGCCAAGCCTCTACATAGGTACCCAATAAATGCTATGGAAGAAAGTTCTTTGGAATGAGGGCAATCATCTTGTGCCTGTATTGCAACAACTTAAGGCCTCTTGCATCTTCATCAGCGAAGGCCAGACAAATGCCAACACATTTTCACTCCTGTTTTGGGATTGGCATCTGATCTGCTCACTGATGGTCCACAAAAGCAAATGGTGCCACATCAGTTGCGGGTCAGCCTTGGACCTTCTGGAAGGAGGGATGCAAAGAAAGTCTTGAAAAACAGCCACGCTGTGCTCATAAGGGATGGGTTGGTCTGTGGCAGCTCTGGCAGAACTTGTCCCGCATCAGGAGGGGCCTCAGGTTCCTCTGCTCTGCCTGCATTCCCTCCCTGCTGAAAGGAAGAACATTCAGTGAAAATCACTGCAGAAATGCATTATGAGAATCAGGTGCTAAGCTGTACTGTTACTTGATTTTCACTGTCAATATAAAACCTACTCAGTGCTTCTCTACTGAAGTAACCCCCAACAACCAAAGTAAGAATATATTGCTTAGGACAGATGCATACAGTTTATTTGGTCAGGTGTTTCCTTTACAGCTAATTAACTCAGCAAACACTGACAAAACCCCAAGTGTCACTGGAAATGCAGGACTCAGCTTGCTTGCATACTCAGACCTGAGTTCAGTTACAGAACTTAGACTGCAACAGACCACTCTCCAACACCTAACAAGTAGGAGATAACACGCAGCACTTTAGTTCTCCAAAAGCAGCAGCAGGCTGGCAATTATTCCACACAAGATGCTTCTCTACAAGAATTCAGAATTTTCACTATTTGTGTAATTGGTAAACTACTTGTACAAACAGTAAAAACTTCATTGCATTTCATGCTCATGTTTTAGAAAACACAATACCTGTAAGTTATTGTTCTGGTCCTGGTTTACAGCAGCTTGAGGAGGAATGTTATCTGGGAAAGGCTGAGCTCGTCGTTGTCTAAAGGGGAACCATCCAACATGGTGCCTGAGGGAAGGCAATATATTTGTGTTAATGCTGCTTACACAACTCCTTCCTGACACATCAGGGTAATTCAACAACACTGTAGCTGGGGATTATCAACAGTGTGTTAACAGTGTGGAACTTGTTGAAGCCATTAGCCTTTTTTCTACAAGTCTGAATATACAGAAGTGCATTTTTAAGTTGCTGCAGTTTCAGCTGAGACTACTGACAGTAACTCACAGGCCTGCACTCATTATCTCACTGGTGATCAAACAATATACAAGGGGACATTCTGCCAGACACCCCAAGAATGTCACCCAAGGGCTGGCTATCTGTACTGTACTCGTAAGACATTTATCCCCAGTTTCTCCCCTCTAGAGCAGCTTAAAAGCAACTCATGACATCACTTTTTTTTTAAAAAAACTTTGTCTTCTCTCCTGAGAAGGTAACAAAAAAACACGTGGCAACACAACTTACAGAGAAGGTGCAAGGTTCTCTCCCAAGATTTTAAGCACTTGTCCATTGTTTCACTGAACTTTCACAGAGCTGCTGGGGCTTTACACTACGAGTTACTTTGTCTTCCGATAGTTTTCCAAAAAGGAAAGTCAACTACACCAGAAAGGGGGCAAGATGATTCCCTATCACCTATCCATTCTACTCTGAACCCAGAGGCTGTAACTGTATTTTTGCTAAACACTGAGGTATACCAGGGTGAGATGAGAGCTTCACCTTCTCCAGGTATACGAGTCCCATAAAGCTCTATTATCAGAAAGCTCACCTCCCCCCAGAGTGCAGCACTTCACTGCAACATTTGACAGCACTCAATATCCAAACTATACACTTACAGATACATCAGAACAGTGCCACCCATAACCAGGAGGAATCTGCTGACACTGGAGTAGAAGTAGACGATGTTGACAAAAACATAGAACAGCGTTGCAGAGTAGAGCCAGTCCAGCCAGTCTCGATTGCCACCCTCCTCCTCTTCCCCCATGAGAGGACCCCCCTGGGCGTTCATCCTTAAGTTCTGGTTGGCCACCTCGTTAGCTTGTGGAGCACCATTCCGGCCCCCAGGTTGGTTGTGTGCAGGAAATGGGTCTGGGAGAGGAGCTGGGGGTGTCACTGGGATCTCCTGAGAACGCCGTGTGGAGGATGGGTCAGCAGATGCAGCAGTAGAAGCCAAGCTGGAAACCAGAGAAATGTGGTTTAAATCTTTTTATGCTGAACAGACACTCAGAACTTGTCCTCTTTAGAAGTTCAGAACCACCAAGTCAGAGCACATACAATTTAGGAAAAGGTTGTGCTTCACAAGGACTCAAAACAAATTTTGGCTCTGCTTATGACAACGCTGTCATGACTGCCAAGTGAAACTACACACCTCCATGTTAGCAATAACTTCACAAAAAGTTATTCTGATCAACCTGAAGGTGTTCTGGAAGGCTGCTTACAGTTCTTGGTTTTATCTCTGTGACCAATTTCCCATCTGTGGGCTACTTTCAGCAGTCAAAAATATGGTAAGGAGCTAACGTAAGAGCAGAAGTAGATTTCCTGCAGAAAAGCAGGGTACAGCAGTAGAGCACTAAGTCTTCTGACTACACCATAAGAAAACAAACAGTCCTTTTCTGTATTTCCTTCTATTAGCTTCTACTTTTCACTAGCAGCTTCAGGAAGACTTACTATTGCATGTAGTATTGCCTTGCATAGATCTGTTGAAGCCAGGACATCTGAAGCATGCTGTAGGTTGTGTACACAGAAAACCCTGGAGGCACAGCTTGGAAAGCATGCTGAGGTGTTTCGGGCCTGTGCAAGATTTAAACAACATTTGTTAAACACCAGAAAAGCCACAAGAGCCATTTACTGAAGGACATTAGATGCCTTCTGCTATTTCCTGCACTGAAACAAAAATTCTTCCCTGTAGAGTATTAAAAGCATCTCTTCCCAGTGAATAAAAGCAAGATTTGCTATTATAGCAAATAAACTGGATTTTATACATCCTTGGCACCTCTGGCCTATTCTCCACTGCATATATCAGGGCTGGCATCCAACAGTCTGCCCAAGCAGGCCTAACCCTGTGAGGGTCTCAGTAATGGACTTACCTGGCACTGACTCCTGCTGCTGCCTGACCACCAGGAGAGCATCTCAGCCTTCCACCATCTGAGGAAGGAGCAGCTGGTTCTTGCCTAGCTTCTGTCACCAGCGTTGACTGAGCAGCCTTAACCTAGAGGCAACCATAGCTACCTGAGGGACTGTTCAAACACCATGCAAATCTCATGCAAACAATGACACCACATTGCACAGTTCTTATTTTAGAGAAACTGTTTCACATCTCACACTGTTTGTACTGCACTAGGCTCCCCCAGGTGCCACAGCAGTGACACTGCACTTAATCCTGTGCTACAAAGCACCTCCATCTCTATTTTAGAGCCCCTTAATTTTACATAAAACACCATATGTTACAGGCGTTTCATGTTTTCACTCCCATTCAGGTCCTATCTGGTGATGAAAAAGAACTACGGGATCTGTGCTCGAGACAAACCAACTTATCAGCTACCACGAGTCTGTGCTTTCACATCCATTTGTGATACACAGATGTAATTCAAGAGCTGCTCTGAGTGATACAGCTGCATAGTATTCAGAGAGTGACTCACATCTGGCAATATGGGTAGGAAAAGTTCAGATTGCTCAGTCCAGGCAGTATAAACAGCTCCACATATTTCAGTACATACACTCAGAAGTGAGTTTGGACAGTGACACTTAAGACCAGTAACTCACGACATCAGCCACCTAACTTCCCCTCTGCCATCTGAGTCATTAAAGGGCAGGTAACACATCTTCACCTATCTCTTTTCTTCCCCACACAGCCACCAGAGCAAGGAGAGCTGCCCCCACTGACCACATCAGCCTCCGTCTGGGTATGACAGGCCTTATATCATTAAGCAGAACAGAGCAGAAAGCAGGGCTCCTCCAGAAAGCACATTACAACCACCTTACACCTTAGATATTTCCTTTCAGCACAGATTTGGGTGGCACCTGTTAATCCAGCAGTTTCTGAGCTTAATTTAACTACATTCTCACACAGCAAGCACCAACAGTATCACAGCATTAACAGGAAACACCTGCAGCACTGGTGAGCACTTACAGCCCCAGCACTGAAAGCAGTGCCTCCACTCAGTGTAAATACCTCTGTGCTGCTCTCTGGCACATCTGTGGGAGCCCTCAGGTTGTAGACCAGGTGCAGAGCGTGCAGCTCCTCCTGCTGAGAGACACACGGACACGTTAGAGAAGTTCCCCCGCGCCTCGGTGCTTCAGCGCAGGATGGAGCAGCGATCCTACCGCGGGCAGGAACTCGCGCAGGAGCTGATGGTCCAGCAGCAGCTTCCCGCAGTAGATCAGCTTCTGGTCCTCCTCAGCCTCGAAGAGACGGAAAGAAAGAAATCACCACCTCCTCCGAGCCACGCAGCCGCCAATGGACCCACGCGGAATCCCGGCCCCGTGCAGCCCCGGCTCCCAAGGCCTCGCGGTGCCGCAACCGCACCCGGGCCTTGCGTCAGCCCGCACCCCCCCACCGCTCCGCGGCCCTTACCGGCGCCCCGGGGTCACGGCGGCGCAGCTCGGCCTTCAGGCGCCGCACGCTCCAGGCGGGCGCGGCGCGGAGCCGCAGGTCGGGGTGACGCCGCGCGGGGCTGCGCACCAGCAGGGACAGTGACAGCTCCTCTGCCATGGCGCGCGTATGGCGGTGCCCCCCGCCGCCGCCCTTTATATAGCCGCCCTCCGCGCCCCGCCCACTTCCGCCCCGCCTGACCGCAGCGCCGCGGTGGCTGCAAGCGATTGGCTGCGAGGGTAGAGGGGGCGGACACGTGGGCCAATAGGAAGCAGCCTCGCGTGCCGCGCGACGGGGGGCGGAACGAAGAGCGTGGAAGGGTCTCTCGGCGCCGCGTTGCCATGGCAACCCGGTAACCCCGGGCCGGGCTCTGCGGTGATGTCGCGCTGCCCCACATCCCGGTGCCTGGCTCCCTCTGGTCGCAGCTTCCCCACGGCGGCCCTCAGGCCCGGCCACACGGCCCCCTCCCTCGGCGCTGCTCTGGCTTCGGGCCGTGTGCTGGATGACCGGGCACGGAGCTGCTGTGTGCGGATTGCGGGCTGAGGGACGGGCATGGGGACGGCCCTGGGCTGAGGCCCCTCCCCGCCCTTTGCCCGCAGCTGGGCTGTACCCGCGGCCTGAGCTGACCCCAGCTGGCCAGCGAGCACCACGGCCCTCAGAAGAGAGAAAGCCAGCACCGTGCCCGAGGCCGCCCTTGCGAACGTCCCCAGCTGGAGCTGTTTGCCTGCTGCTGGCCTGGCTGTGGCCTGTGCTCAGGTGGGCACGGGGTGAGGCTGTGAGGTGAGTGCTGGAGGGGCCCGGGGCTGCTGAGCCCTTGCTGCCGTCCCCCAAAGCAGTAACCCTGGGCAGGGATGTGGCTGCGGCCTTGGAGCTCCCCAGCTCAAGGCCCTGACCCTGTGGGCACAGCTCAAAGCAGGAGCCAAGCCTCGCACGTGTCCTGCGAGCAACGAACCCCTGTTCACCAGACGCCGAGGTGAAGGGCTCTGAAAGCCCTCTGTCAATATTGCCTGCGTCAGCACTGACCCCGCTGACAGCAGGATTATCTGTCTGACCTCAATGCAATTACCCTGCGAGCAAACCCGCCGAGTTAAACTCGGCGCAGCCAGGGTGCTTCCTCTGCTCCCTGTCCTACAGCAGCTCCTGGCCACGCTCTCCTGGGCAAAGCACTGAGGGCCGGAGCTGCATCGCGAAGGGTCAGACGGGGATCAGCGAGTGGTTCTGCCCCAGAGGGCGGTGAGCACGGAACAGCTCCCCAGGGCTGCCGGAGCTCAGGGAGCGCAGGGACGCCGCTCTCAGCCGTAGCGTCTGATTTATGGGTGGCCCCACGCGGGTCCCTCCCGGCATTCCGCCATTGACGTCTCCGTGACCCCACGCTGCCCGCCGCCCGCGGGGGTCCCCCCTCCCGGCCCCGCCCCCGCCCCCGTTGCTATGGCGACGTTGTCAGCGCGCTCCCTTTCGCTCCACGGCCGCGCGCCGCGCCGCGCCGACCCCGCCCCCGAGCCCCGCCTCGACCAATGGCGCGGCGCCGCCCGGCCGGCCCGCCGGTGACGTCATGGCCGGTGAAAATCCCCCGTGGCCGCGGGAGCGGCGGCGCGGGGCGGTGCGGGCAGCATGGCCAAACACCACCGCACGCCGGCGCGATCCGCCGAGCCCGTCATCGAGGTCAAGAGCAAGGTAAGCGCTGATGCCGGTGCTGATGCCGGTGCTGATGCCGGTGCTGATGCCGGTGCTGATGCCGGTGCTGATGCCGGTGCTGATGGTGCCCGCCCGCCCCGGCAGCACACGTGGGGGCGGCAGCGCGCAGAGGCATCCCGGCCGTGCGGGGCCCTGCTCCGCTCCCGGTGCTGCAGCGGCACGGCTCCGAGCGCCGCGCGATGCCGGTACCGGGAAGACGGAGCCGCCTGGCCGTCAGCCCGCCCGCTCGACGCGGTGGAGGGCGCAGCGCCGGGAGCGTTCGGCAGGTGCACGGCGGCGGCGGGGGCGGCGCGGCCCCAGCGGTGCGAGCGGGCCGGGGGCAGCCCTCGGTTAGCTGGGTTAGATGTGTGCCGTCGGGACGCGGTCACACCGGGGACGCCTCGGGCCAGATGTGTATCCCGACAGCTCCCTTCTCTCCGGCGTGAGGGGGCATCCAGATGTGCACACGCATCCAGATGTGTGGGCACATCCAGATGTGCCCTCGCTCAGCCCCCCCAGCACACCCTCACCCAGCTGTGCTCTGCCAGCTCCCAGCCCTGCACTCACTCAGATGTGCCTCCTCCAGATGTGCCTCCGCCAGCCCCCGAGGACACACCCTGTGTCCCCATGTGCCCCTTCCCCATCTCTGCCTGCATGCCCCGTGAATAACAGCTGGGGTCCTGCTCACCCTCCTCCAGCTCTAACCACCTTTACCTCCTCTCCCTCCTCCTCCTCCTCTGCAGTTTGATGCTGAGTTCCGTCGCTTTGCCATGAAGCGTTCCAGCGCCGGCACCTTCCAGGACTTTTACAGCCTACTGCAGAGCGTGCATCAGATCCCCCGCGTGGATGTGCTGCTGGGCTACACCGACGTGCACGGCGACCTGCTGCCCATCAACAACGACGACAACTACCACAAGGCCCTGTCCTCTGCCAACCCCCTGCTCAGGGTCATCATCCAGAAAAAGGGTCAGTGGCGGCCGGAGAAGGGCTGGGATCCATTCCTTGGGATGCGCGGGGCGAGCGGCAGTCCATGTGCTGGCCTTGTTCCTCTCGTTGTGCTGGGGGATGGCTTGGGAGGAGGTGACACTATGGCCACCCAGCCCGTGCATTTCACCTCTTGGAAGTCGCTTTTGCAGCCGGGCTGGTGTGGGCTCCGTGCAGTGCAGCTTCCTTGTGCTGGGCTGTGAAATAGCTGTGATAGTGGCATCCCAAGTGCAGCTGCACAGGAGGGACCCTGAGCACTGCGGTGGTTCCAGCTCATGTTGTCGGCCCAAAGTCCCCAGATAAGGGGTGATGTTGTGCTGCTGAGTCAGATTTCCTGTGCTCCTGCATGGATTTCCACCAGGGCCATTCAAGCAGCTCCAAACCATCCACTCCTGCACCAGGGCTGCAACATAGGGCAGGAACCTGGCAGAGGGTCTGCAAGAGGGGCACATGGAGAGGCCAGGAGTGAGCCCTGGGTGAGTCACAGCTGATTTAGAATGGATCCAGGTCATTCCAGGGCTGGGCTGTAGTCAAACCAGTCCCCAGGTTGGTGAGGAACACAGGCAGCTGCAGAGCTTCCTTCACACACTAGGTGCAGAGGGAGCATGCACACAGTGTGTCCACATGTGTGGGTTTTAGAGTCCCGTGCCATGGGGTTGAAAAGCAAAAGCCACAGCACTTTGGCTCCCCATGCCACCACTCACACGTAGAGGCAGTGGAGATGTCCCATGGGTGCCCAGCTGGAGACAGGTGCTCAGCCACAGAGCTGGGCTCGGGCTCATGGGAAGGGCAGGAGGATGCCTGGTGCATCCCCAAGGCACCAAGCGGCACAGCCTGGCTGCCTCTCGCCCCCCAGAGAGCAGCCATGTGCTGAAATAGCTGTGGGAAAGCCTCCACCGCCCTTCCCCAAGCTAAAAATAAGGCAGGCGGTGAGTGCAGGGAGATATTTATAACCCAGGAGCCCTGGCAGGCCAGCTCGTCCTGGGAGAAACCCCATATCCCCATGGTGCCAAGGACTCCCCTGTGCCCAGAGCAGGATCTGGTGCTGGTGAGGAGCTCCTGCACTTGGCAGCCCCTCTCATGGGTGCTGAACTGCATAGAATGCTGCATTCCCCTTGCTGTGGCACTGGGACCAGGCTTTCTCAGAGTCCTCCTGAGGTCACTTTGGGTGCTTTCTGTATTGGTGGCAGAACACCTGCTGGTTCTGCAGGCTGGGCACTGAGGATGCTGATAAGCCCTGGGCAGCGTTGGAAGGATGCAGCGGCAACACGGCATCCAGATCTGAGCTCCCCCATGGAGAGGGGTGGAGAGAAACCAGAGAGAGCCCAGGGGATACTCCCTGGCCTCTAGGGGATGCATTCAAGGGAATGATGTGAGGGAGATGGCACCCACTGAACAGCCTCACAGCGGCTGGCTGGGGGTAATGGAGCCAGACCCTGCATAGCAGTGCCTGGAGGTGGAACAAGAGGTGCTGACAGGATGCATAGGGTTGGGAGGTCCAGGGCCGTGGGGACGCTGCAGCCCTGGGATGGGGCACTGGGAGATGGGCGTCCAGCTTGTGGGTGTGGCAGGGCTCTGTGGCCCTGATCTGGTCATTCTGCTCTGATGGGGATAAGGTGGGGAGCTGGTGTGTGTGTGTGCCCCAAACCAAGGTGCAGCAGCGGCCCCCAGGCTTGCAGAGTCGGCAGCTCAAGCGTTAAGCTGCAGAGCTTGGCTTAAAGTGTGATTAAGGCTGAATCACCGCCTCGATCCCACTAATCCCAGCCGCGTGTACACTGGGTAATCCCAGGAGATGGGCCCAGAGGAGACAGGAAGAGCCGGGGCGATGTTTGGTGGGGAAAGCTGGTGAGATCGCAGCTGCCGTGCGGTGCTGAGCTCCGTCTGACCTCATCCCCCTTTGCTCCCCACAGCAGAATCGGACGCCGGCGTCTTCGCCTCCAACTCCTTGCAGAGGAAGAAGAAGGGGTTGCTGCGCCCAGCGCACTACCGGGCCAAACCTCACCTCCTCATCGGCATGCCCCAGGATTTCCGCCAGATCTCCTCCATCATCGACGTGGACATCCTGCCCGAGACGCACCGCCGTGTGCGGCTCCACAAGCACGGCTCCGACAAGCCGCTGGGCTTCTACATCCGCGACGGCGTCAGCGTGCGCGTGGCCCCGCAGGGCGTCGAGAAAGTGCCCGGCATCTTCATCTCCCGCCTGGTGAAGGGCGGCCTGGCGGAGAGCACGGGGCTGCTGGCGGTGAGCGACGAGATCCTGGAGGTCAACGGCATCGACGTGGCCGGCAAGTCTCTGGACCAGGTGACGGACATGATGGTGGCCAACAGCCACAACCTCATCATCACCGTCAAGCCGGCCAACCAGCGCAACAACGTCATCCGCAGCAGCAAAGCCTCGGGCAGCTCGGGGGTGTCCACGGACAGCACCCCAAGCCAGCAGACCCCCAGCCCGGCCTCACAGTACCTCAGCAACTACAGCACGGCCGAGAGCGACGAGGAGGGTGACCTGGTCATCGAGAGCGACGGCGCGCCCCA